ACGAGCCGACGCGTCTTCGCGCTTGAAGTTGCTGGCAGGTGCCCTTCTCCGCTCCGGGGCTGCACCATTTCCAAGGCAATAGAAAGAAAAGAAAAAAAGAAATAAAGAAGGGGGGGGGACCCCCGAAGTGGAGGAGGAGGAGATGCCGGTGAATGGCGCCCGCGGAGCTTGTCCATGCTCCGGCGGCAGCGGCTCACAAAGAGCAGCTGCGGGAGGTTTGCTTGCGGTGGGAAAGCTCAGCCGGTCGCGGTGCTTTCGCCGGGTCCCGGCAGAGGATTTGTAGCCGGTGCTGAGCTCTCAGTGGCCGCCGCACCGGGCAGGGCACCGGACACCGAATCTGCTGCTCTAATTCAGCCAAAACCGAAGCGCCGCGGGGTCTTGCACGTGTTTTCCTTCCCAGCAACGCTGCAGGCAGGAAAAATACCTGGGGAAAGGCTCTTTCCATGCAGCCAAAAATATTCCGGCAAATTTTGCGGCTTTATTTTAGCTTCGTTACGATGCTCCCGGTGTGCGTGGGGAGGTTGCAGGGGGGATGCTGCAGCAGCTGGCTCGGTCACAGGAGAAACTGCTGGGGATGTCCGGCGCTCACGGTGGCCGGATCCAGCACATCTCGCAGCATTTTTCGAACCTCGCTTTTTCCTGGTGGCTGGTGGTTTCTTTTTAGCATGGATTTACAGGCGGGAAGGGCCACGAGGGGAGTGGATTTTACAGGTCTCGCTTGCTACCTTGCAGGGAGTGACCTTTATATTAATATATAATTAATATTATATTAATATAATTAATATCAAGTGGATGCACCCGAAGTGCATCCAGTCTGTGAATTAACCTGCGGGTGTTTCTCCTCCTCCCCAGGTTAGTGGAGCAGAGCAGATCGTCATGAAGCACCCCGAGACCCCACGTCCCTGAAACGCCCATCACCACAGGGAGGACCTTCTGGAAACCACACGGGAAAAAAAAATGAGGCTCTTCCGGAGACGCTACAGCCCCTTGAAGGTGGCTTTGGCGGGCGCCGTCTTCGTCATCTTCCTCTTCATCCTGCAGAAGGACGTGGGGGACAAGGACCCGAGTGAGGAACCCTGGTTGAAGAACATCGTCCAAGGCAAGGACCAAGTCCTCGACCTGATGATGGGGGCGGTCAACAACATCCGAGACTCGATGCCGAAGCTGCAGATCAGAGCTCCAGTTCGGCAGGAGGAACCGCTGCCCAGTGCTCGCTCCTGCCTGCCCGGCGTCTACACGGCGGCCGAGCTTCGGCCGCTGATGGAGAGACCCCCCCAAGACCCCGCCAGCCCCGGAGCCGACGGCAAAGCCTTCAAGAAGGATCGATGGACACCGGAGGAGACGAAGGAGAAGGAGCGAGGTTACGAGAAGCATTGCTTCAACGCCTTTGCCAGCGACCGCATCTCCCTCCAGCGAGCACTGGGACCCGACAGCCGCCCGCCGGAGTAAGAGCCATCGCCCAGAGCCATGACGGTCCATTTGCTCCCGGGGGGGGGGCAAGTTTAAGGGGAAATAAAAGCAGATTCGGGAGCGGGATGTCACCAAGCATTGGCAGGGGATCGAACGGAGGAAGGGCTGAAAAAAATACTTCCCCCCCCCCCCCAAATTTTTGTCCTCTTGGGGTTATTTTTTAACAGCAATGGGCAAAAGCCAGCAGCAGCTCTTTGTGTCTCTGCGTACCTGCTTGCAGCCGGGTGGCTCCAGCATCTTCCCCCCCCCTTTCCCTCC